GCGAGCACCACTCTCCTATCTGAGCATCACAGCTCTCCGGACACTGTCACCCCGTTAACAATGTGACTGCACATTCACAGTCCCACATTTGCCCACACCCACAGAGCGCCAGATAGGAAGAAATCGCTTTTTCTTGCCCTTCTTCTTCCTCTTTTCTTAAAATAACACTTTCTCCAGCAGCGTCCCATAGCTCCTCCGCATGCGCGCACGTTTACAGCTGGTTTTCCTCTTTGGCCCCACTTCCCCTGACTTTCTCTTCTAGTTGTGCTCTTCTCACTCAGCTCTCCTTCCCCCTCCACCTCCAGAACTTCAACATCTACAGAAGGATCTTCACTGACATGGTGAGCTCCCCTGGGACCAACAGTGCCGAGGCCTATCACAACTGGGCTGACCTTCGGGACGTCCTCTTCAACCTGGTGAGGAAGTCGGGTGGACAGCTCAGACAGGCTACTCCGCCTGTCCCTGTCCTCGTCTTTTCTTTCACGCACATAAACCTTCACCCTCAGACTCTACCTTCCTCTGTCCAGGTGGCCATCAGTTGACCACTCTGGCCCTGGCACTCCTCTGACCCCTGACCCAGGTTGTGCACTCTCCCTGCTCTAGTGTGAAAACTTGGTGAAGTCCAGTGAGGCAAACTCTCCAGCCCATGAGGAGTTCGAGACCATGCTGCTGATCGCTCATTACTATGCCACTCGTTCTGCGGCCCAGAGCATCAAACAGCTGGTGAGACAGAGTGGGGAGGAGCTCTCAGTCTTATAGACACATCTTCAAATGTATGAAGTTGAATGAATTCAAGTTCTGGACGGTCTCAAGCTTGGCCCACTGCTCTCCTAGTTTCTCTTTACCCTTGCTGAGATGGTTTTCTTTGTATTCCTCTGACCTTCTTAGGGCTCTGTGCCCACACAGCTCCAGCCTCATTACGCTCAAACATTCAAATTCCATGATTTCTGCATTGACCTCTTATAATATATACATACCTTTGGCTTATCCATGATAGTATATTGTATATTTATTTCCTGGAGTTGGACAATAGAATTCTAGAGGTGGGAGGAAATTTAGAAATAACCTAGGTCCAGTTCTCTTGCGCAGATGAAAAAACAACTAAGACCCAGGGGCTTCCCTGGTGGCGCAGCGGTTGAGAGTCCGCTTGCCGCTGCAGGGGACACGGGTTCGTGCCCTGGTCCAGGAAGATGCCACATGCCGCGGAGCGGCTAGGCCCGTGAACCATGGCCGCTGAGCCTGTGCGTCCGGAGCCTGTGCTCCGCAACGGGAGAGGCCACAACAGTGAGAGGCCCGCGTACCGCAAAAAAAAAAAAACCAAAAACTAAGACCCAGAACTGCATGACCCAGAGCAATTTGATATTGACTGTTGGTCTTCTGGTTCTATGGCTGCCTTAGTTATAAGATCATTGGTCTGGCAGCTCAGTCACATAGTGCCAGGATCATAGTGCTTTGACTTTAATCCATAGGAAACTGTGGCTGCCAGGCTTTCTGTTTCACTCTTACGTCACACCCAGCTACTACCTGCAGACAAGGCCTTCTATGAAGCAGGCATTGCTGCCAAGGTGAGCAATGGGGCCAAGCAAGGGCGGGGCCCAGGAGAGAAGGAAATCAAAAGTTGCAAAGTAGGAAATCCCAGCTGCTCAGGTAGAGCAGAGCTGAGCGTGGGGCTGACGTTATGGAGGAGGTCATTTTCCTGTATCTTCCTGGGTTCTCCCCCTGCATCCTGGAGAAACAGCCACGCCCATCTGCTCACTCCCACTTGCACCTTTTCTCTGGTGCAGGCAGTTGGCTGGGAGAACATGGCCTTCATCTTCCTCAACCGCTTTTTGGATCTGACCGATGTGAGTAGGGCAGTTGTGCCCAGAGGTTGGGAGGTTTTCCCTGTGCCTATCTCATGGCTGCCCACTCTGCCGCAGGCAATTGAAGAAGGGACTCTGGATGCCCTTGACCACTCTGACTTTCAGGATACAGACATTCCCTTTGAGGTGCCACTCCCAGCCAAGCAGCACGTCCCGGTAAGGGCACAGGATTGGAGAACAGGAGGCCTCAGGAGTGTGAGTGCACTAGAAAGGGAGGCCACTTTAGGATGGTCCTCCCAACACTTTGTAATGACATCAGTCAGCAAAGTCTCTGGAAGGGCCTCAGCCCTCACTGTTCGTTCAGTGAAAGTAGAAGCAGAGGAAAAAGCTAAGGCTGTGACTGTGACCGCCAATCCAAGGAGGATCGTTTGTGGGTGAAAGGTGGCACACAGGATGACGGCTCAGCAAACCCTCTACCCACCACCTTCCACTTGCCCTGCCCTGCCCTGCGTGAAGCTGCTCTGTCCTTCCCAGGAGGCTCAGAGAGAAGAGGTTCGAGACTGGGTGCTCACAATCTCAATGGACCAGCGGTTGGAGCAGGTTCTACCTCGGGATGAGCGCGGTGTCTATGAGGCTTCCCTGGTGGCGGCCAGCACTGGAGTTCGGGCACTGCCCTGCCTCATTACAGGTACAGAACCCTACAGCACCCCATATTCTGTGGTGGGTGGAAAGGAGGGAAAAACAGCAGGATCAAGAAACTGTTTTACTGTGATTCAGTAAAGGATGCAGAAGACAAGAACATCCTACTTTCTACCCCTAAATTGCTCTTCATTCTTCCCCCTCAATCCATCGCAAACTCCAGTTCATCTTTTTTTCTCCCCCCACCCCTCCAGGATACCCCATTCTGAGGAACAAAATTGAATTTAAGCGGCCAGGGAAGGCAGCTAACAAGGACAACTGGAATAAGTTCCTTATGGCCATCAAGGTTAGAGAGGAAGGCTTGAGAGATGGGGGTAGGGAGAACAGCGCTGAAGAACCCACCAGCAGCCGTGCAGGGTAGGGGAGGTGGTGTCAAGAGGGCAGGTGCAGGCCTGAACCCTGCTCCCCACACTGAGATGGAACAAGTTTTCTTTGTATCAGGAATGTTTTTCCCAGCGCTGCTGAGTTCCCCTCATGCTCTCTGTTTCCTCACAGACCTCCCACAGCCCTGTGTGCCAAGACGTACTGAAGTTCATCAGTCAGTGGTGCGGGGGACTGCCCAGCACCAGCTTCTCCTTTCAGTAACTGGTAGAGTTAGTAGGTTCCATCCCTCATTAAAGTCTTGTAAGTAACTGAGACCACTGTATTCTTTGATCAAGTTCACGCCCAACACTAGCCCAGCGCCCCTTTCCCCCAAAAGGAATCATAATCAAGTAGAAGTTCTTTTATTACAACTGTTATTATATAAACATATCCTAAGGGTCAGTGGAAGATCCTTGTGGACTGAGCCTCCGGATCAGCACCTGCTTGACAGAAGGAAGAGCCTGTGTCAGAGGGCAAGCAGCATAGCAAAGGACCCAACCCAGTTCTAAGAGTGGTCCCTGCCACCACCCTTTCCCAGGCCACAATCCTCCTGGCCCATTACCTGTCCCTAAACCCAACTTTTCTGTGATATCCGGATTTCTCAAGTTTGATCCAGTAGGTGCTCATTTTCCTGCCTCTTACATTTAGGAAGTTCAAGCTCTGTCAGTTCCTCCAGCTACAGAAGAGGGTGGGGTTAGTACTCCAGCCCTGTATATAATTCAGCATCTTTACAACACATTCTGTGTTGAATGAACCCTTCCTGTGCATCTTCCTTACCTGCTCCTGTAGCCCTTCCTTCCTACAGGGCCCAACCCCACGTAGGGTGAGCGCAGCCACACAGCAGTAACCAGATAGAGCAGCCTCAGCTACAGACATGAGCAAAGAAGGGATCCAGAGAGCCAAGGCTGTATCCTAAAAGGTGAAGGAAGAGGGGGGAGGCTAGAGGAAGCAGGGCAGGAGTGGCAAGTAGGGGCGATTAAAGGGCAGGACCAAGGCTTTGTGGACCGCGAAAAGGCTGGGAAGAGAATGGACTCACATAGATTCTTGTGGGGTCAAAGGGGCAGTCACTGTGTCCAGACCCCTGGTCCAGTGGTAACAAAGGATCCAGCAGTCCTGGATGGCAGTCAGCAATAAGACGGCGGCCGCCGTTGGCCACAGTGAATGACACAGCAAGGAGGAGGCCCAGGGAGCAGGCAGCAGACAAGAGAAGGTTCACCAGAGCTAGTGCCAGCAGGGCCCAGTGCTGGCAGGGGCAGAAGGTCAAGGTGAGCAGCCTGGGGGTGGCTGCCTCTCCCACTGACACCTAGGTTACTCCATCTGGGGCTCCTCCTCCCACCAGAGATGAAGCTGAGCCAGCCCCCATTTCCCTGACTCCTGGCCTCCTCATTAAAGCTCCAGAAATCCCCTCACCAGTCGTGGGCGAAGAAGGTTCCTGGATGCCAAAAGGGCCACAAGTCCCACGGAAACGCTCTGGAAGAAACAAAACCTGAGGCCCGCGCCGCTCTCCAGCGCCAACCGCCCGCCCCACGGCCCGGCCCCGCTCACCAGCAGCCCGGAGCCCACGGAGATGACATTGGCGGTGGTGTACTCCGAGGTGACGGCGCCGCGGGGATTGGCCACGTGCCGCAGGACGGTGCCATGCAGCACGGCCCCCAGCAGCAGGTTCACGTGGCCCACCAGCAACAGCGCCAGGCCCACGTGCATGAGCCGCCGGGGCCCCCTGGCCGCGTCTGCAAAGCACGGGGGGAGGGGCAGGCCTGAGCGGGAGAGGAGACGGCCGAGTCGGCGGAGGCCCCTCGCTGCCGCCCCCACTAGGCCACGGGGCGTAGGGCGGGTCCAGGGTGGGCGCTCAGGGGAGAACGCGACCAGAGGGGCCAGAAATTACCGAAAACGCAGAGGCGGCAACGGCACTTCATCGGTTCCTCAACGCTGGCCGGCTGCGGGGCAGCTCTACCTGCCCTGGCCCCGCCCTCGCTCCCCGGCCAGTTCCGCTCTCCCTGAGCACCTGCAGCCCAACCTCCGCGCCGCCTGGCGGGAGAGGCAGGCGCGCGCGCCCACACACACCCACACCCATTCTCTCACACACACACACACACACAGACACCCACCCACACCCACACACCCACACGACGCGCGTAGCAAAAAGTAGACTTTTATTACAGCAGCAACTGAGGCGAATCGAATGGCCCCCCGGGGCCACCCCTGCAGCACCACCCTTCTCTCCCGCCCCGTCCGCCCCAGCGGGATTGTAGAATTCAGCTCCCAGCGCCCGTGGGCTTCCTTTCCACACAGGCTGGGCGGGAGCCAGCAGATCAGCTACTAGCCCCCGACTAGAAGGCGGCTGCTGAGAAGGCCCAGGCCCACGTCTGTGCAAAACAAGTAAACAAAGTGCAGAGGGATGGAAGAGAAGGGGAGGGGTGGGTAGGGTGATGCTCAGAACCGGGGAGCCCCAAAGCCCTCCTGAATAATAAAGGAGAGAGGGGCTTCACAGGGTAATACTGTCTGGGGGGAAGGGGCAGGAAGGCTGTAGCACATGTCGTAGCACAGCCACAGCTCAGATTAGGGGCTGGGCCCGAGTGAGCTCTAAGAGGAGACGGTGACAGCGGCTGAGTTGAGGGTGCTGTTCCTGGCAAAATTGAACTTGCTCAGGGTCTCCTCCAGCAGAGAAGTCAGTCGCGTCTGGTCCGCCTAAAGGGGAGGAGCTCAGTGAGACCAGGCGGAGGAGAGCGGGGGCAGCCGGGGCAGCGGGGGCGGCAGGAGGCAGAAACCTCACCTCGCTAATGAAGCCCAGCTGCACCAGCTCCGCCGCCAACTCGGGGATGTTCTCATCTGACAGAGAAACAGGAGAGGGTGAGTACAGTACAGCAGCGAGGGGCACAGGGCCCTTGGAACAGCCCCAGTCAGGTGACCCTGGCTGGGAAAGAATGACACAAGCAAAACTGTCAGATCCACCCTCCAATTTTAGGGGCGACGATATTCATTCTATGTGAGTCAATGTGTTACTGCCCTGTCACCTTACCCACCCCTGAATATGTCCCTCACAGATAAGGCTCATAGACTCTCCATCCTCTGAGGGAAAGGAGAGACTCACTTGGCATCAGGTCACAGCTCAGGTGCCGGTTCAGTTTGTCCTCCAGCTTCAGCAGAAGCGTCAGCTGGAGAGTAGGACAGTCAGAAAATGAGGCTCCCCTTCCCCACCCTCTGGCCACCCAGCCCTATGCAGCCCTGGCCCTGAGCCTTACATGGTGTTTGACGCCCTCCTCCACCGACTCGATGTTGCACTGCATCAGCACCACCTAGGGAGAGGGGACAGAGAGGGTCACTAGAGTAGGGACCAGTGAGCAAAAAACCCCCAAGAGCTGGAAGCCTTTCCAGCCCACGGGACATGAACGCCAGGGAGCAGAAACACATTCTTCTCTCTAAAGGACAAAGCCTTATCTGAGATGTCCTCTCTCCCTTCCACCACGACCACAGACACAGCCACACCCACACAGCCCCACCTTGCGGGTCTCCACCTCAGCGGGTTCAGGTGTTGGAGTCTTGACAGAAGGCGGCACCACAGGTGATGTCACCTCCTCCTGCTGTGGCTGCTGGGGCCGAGGCAGCCCAAAGGCCGTCAGGGGGTAGATCCCGTTCCTAAGTGCAGATCAGACAGGTCGCATGGGCTCCGTGGATGTCTTAGGACACCCACCCCTGCCTCCTCAAGGAAGCTTTTTTTCTCATTCTTCTCTCACCTGACATCTTCAAGGAATTTATCCAGTTCCAGAGCTGGTGACTGAGAGTACCTGGAGAAGAAAAGAGAAGGAAGATGGAAGGAAGGAAACGGGCAAAAACAGCAGATTCGACCACTCCCAGAGAATGGACAGTTGACAGAAACCTCAGGGTGGGAATGACCAATCTGTCCCTTTCAGAACCTCTCAGTTAGTTACTCACAATGTCTGAACTGGTTCTCTTCCTGGTCCTGCAGGGATTTCAGCCAGTACAGCACTGGTATCCATGTTTTTGGTGATCTCCTCCAGAGCATTCTCTGGGATCATGTCTGGAGGGCATGATGGAATGGGAAGTTATGGAAGGATAGTTCAGATTAATATCACAGAAGGCACAAGGGGTCCTGGGGGAGGGTGGGGGAGGAACGGAAAGAATCCCTTTGGAAGTAGAAGAGGAAAGGAAACATGCCAGTGAGAGTTACAAGGCTCCAGAATGGAAAAACAAATTCCTAGGAGGGTCAAGAGGACTCACGCTGGTGTCCCACAATGCAGTGGGCAGCAAGGAGTTTGAGCGAGGGCACTTCAAACAGTGCTGGGTGGAACAGAAGTTCTCTGGCTGTTGGTCTGCGAGCGGGTTCAGACTGCAGGCACTTTTGAATGAACTCCTAGAAAGGGGAACAAGGGAGTGGAGCAGGCATCTGGCAAGCACTCCACTGTGTTCGTCTCTCTCTCTCACATTGTATCTAGTACAAGGCTGTGTGCATACTAGGTGCTCAGCACTGGCTGAGGGAACAAATTGCTAATGTTTATGAAAGGACTTCGAAAACTGTAAGGTATTATATGAAAGGTATCATTCACTGTCTTTCTGGTTTTCATTATTTTTCTGCTCCCCAATCGCAAGCTTTTTTTCTTTACTGTTCAAACTTATGATTTCTTTTTTCTTATTTTCTCTCTCTCTGCTTTATTAGCCCACTCACTGCCTACCTTCTCCAACCCTCACCAAATTTACCTCTCTCTTACCAAACTCACCCACTGTGGTCAATAATAGTTACCATCTTTTTATTTCCCAAGCCTACCACCACAATTTCCTTTGTCCACTACATCATTTATTAAATTCACTGGATTTCCCCATGCTCCCTCTAACCCCACAGGTCCCATGACAGTTAACCTGCTCTCCTCCTTTCAATCTGGAAGGCCAACAAGGCCATATACCTAATCTCTTACTTGAACAGCCCACCCTGACACTGAACCAGAAACTTATTCCACACTAGCCTCAAGACTTCCCACTAATCTTCCTTCTCTTCTCTCTTCCCCCACCCTTTTTATTGAATTTTTGAATTTTATTTTATTTTTTTATACAGCAGGTTCTTATTAGTTATCCATTTTATACATATTATCCTCCTCCCTTTTATAAGCATCTAATGAGTTACAAACTAACCTTGTTTGGACCTTCCTGTCCAGACCCTACTTACTATAGTCTACTTCCTGATTCATAACCCCTATATCCTTTTTTTTTTTTAATTTTTCCATTTTTTGTTTTGTGCTTTATTTGGTTGTGCCAGGTCTTAGTTGCGGCATGTGAACTCCTAGTTGCGGCATGCATGTGGGATCTAGTTCCCTGACCAGGGATCGAACCTGGGCCCCCTGCATTGGGAGCACAGAATCTTAACCACTGTGCCACCAGGGAAGTCCCGCCCTATATCCTTTAAATCTTAGCTCATTTATTTCAGGGCACTTTCCCTAACTAAAACTATATAAATATAAAACCCCAAATAACTGGTTTGAGTAATTCAAACTGATTGATTTGTTCAAAAATATCAAGATGGTTGGGACTTCCCTGGTGGTCCAGTGGCTAAGGCTCCGCACTCCCAATGCAGGGAGCCCGGGTTTGATCGCTGGTCAGGGAACTAGATCCCACAGGCCACAACTAAGAGTTTGCGTGCCGCAACTAAAGATCCCGCATGACGCAACGAAGATCCTGCAAGCAGCAATGAAGATTCCCACGTGCCGAAACTAAGACCCGGCACAGCCAAATAAATAAATAATAAATAAATAAATAAACAAAAGGGTGTGTGCCAATAATGGTCATGCCTGTATGAAAGAAAAATACATACCAAGATGGCTGTCTGAGAGTGTATACCAATTACCTGAGGTAACCATCAAAGTAGTTTGCCTCCACATAGACAAACCTAAGTTAACACACAAACTTTAGTCCCAATATTACCCATCTTCTTTTTTTTTTTTTTTTTTTTTGGGGTTCTTGGGCCTCTCA